AAAGACAGCAAGGCAAAAGAAATGGCAACAAGACAAATATTAATTTTAATTAAATTATAAATCATCCTTATGTCATGACAATCGATTGGGACATATCATGATATACAAAAAGGCAAATATTTTTACTTTATGAAAAGGCCCAGTCACTCCACCTGTAGGTCCAGCCCCAGCATCATCAGAAATACAGTACATTCAATTACTGGAGTAAGATGGAATTTTATGTCTAGTTTTCTTACAGGGGCAGGCACCGTTTCATATATTTTCAAAAGCATTCCGAAACTGAAAAATTTTCAGCAAGGCAACATTCAACATAAAGTTGATGGTTACCATGTGGAACTTGTTGTAGACATCAGTGAGTCCATCCTTAACAATGAGGTCTTCCATCCTCACTCCTCCGTACGCTGGAGTCTCTCTGGCCATCACATAAGGTACGTTGGACATGCTCTCCATGCCGCCTGCCACCATCACATCCTAAAAATCACACAGAGTCAAAGTCACACTTTAAAGGCCACTTTATACTATGTGATTCCGGGCTGTGTGAGACCTAAATTGACAGTTGTGAGAGAAACGTAGTAAAATCTGTGACTGTCAATCCAGCATAGTGGTCCTGGATGACAATGTGAGACACGCCCACTGACGGAGATTTGGTAACCAAGGACATCATGTGGCAAAATTCACGTCTATCAATCAACTAATCATAATACGCCATGAAATGACGCAGGATACGTGGTCAATTTTTTTAACTGCAGTTTTAATAAATTTAAATGCAATCTGGGGGACACGGAGGACAACACACACAGACACACACTCTTGTGATTATTTACTAAAAGTCCCATGTGTGATTAGTACAACTCTGCTATGCAAACACATGTACGTGCCAACATGTGACTCCTAACTCACAGACACGTGTACATACATCTGTGTGTACGTCCTGCCACTTCACATGTCCACGCACGTGAGACTCTTAATGGCCAAGCTTGATCTAAACTCTCTGACCGAGAAAACCAACTATTAAATCTAAATGTGGACACAATAACAGCCTAGTACGACTCAATACTATTTTTTTTTATGTTTTTTTTTTTTTTTTTTTTTTTTTTTTAAACTTACATGTACAGTATGTATGAATTTCCATCAGGTAGTTAGTATAATAATGATATGGTGTGTTTTAACCACATTATTTCAAACCAAATACATGCTGCAGTCATGCTGCAACAACTGAGTAATGCTTATGGCTACTTTTCACTTGTTTCCTTATTCTTGTACATTTTTTATTAAGAGGAAGTCACACATGCGCACACACACGTGCCTCTGCATGGCTGAGTTGTATTAATGAGACACAGAATTAACTCACATATATGCACACATGTGGGACTGAATGCGTGTATTTATGTGCATCTGTAGTGACAGCCACAGTCTCCTGTGCATACAGTAGTTTATCTTACAATACCACTCTAATTCCTGCAGTGGTGTAACCCAGCAAGGCAAAGTCTGTGGTCACCCGTCATATTCTAAGAGTTTATGGTAAACAAAGCTTGTGTTTGGTCACAATGAAGTCCTTCATTATCTTACATGGGAACTCATTTGTGTTTTTAAAAACACATTATTTAAATCCCACTTCATGGCAAATGATGCAATGAGAGGGAATCTTCAGTCTAACTTTTGTTTTGTTTTTTTCAGACCCAACAATAATCACAAATTCATAAACTATGCACCTTGCATTAACTGAAAGCAACTGAAAGCTTCTATCAAGCTGCAGAGCTAGAGTGTATTTAAAGGCAATGCTACCTGGTGTCCACACATTAGACTCTGGGCTGCCATCATGATGGACTTCATCCCAGAGGCACAGACTTTGTTGATGGTTGTTGCTGGAGTGCCGAGTGTCAAGCCTGGAGAGACAGAGACATATTTGCATTCGCAAAAATAAAGAAAAATCTCTTGACCGACCCTCAGTTATGCTTCTGTATGTTTGTGTGCAACTGGCACAGGTGAGCTGTAAATTTGACATTGGTGCTATAGTATTACACAGTGATCTGTTATGTGTGATAAAAACACAATCATACCAATTATGTTTCTAACATATGTTCTCATTAGTTTCTACCCTTGCTGTGACTTTTAACATCAATAATGACATAAAAGTGTTCCACTTCAGAAGCTGGGTATACTTATCCAGCTGCTGGAGATAAATTGTGTAGCTTTGCACATGCCTGTATGATCTGTGGCTTTCAAATTAGACATGTGTACAGAAACTGCATCACTAAGCTGTCAGCTGTATAGAGATGGCAGGACGACCTGGTTTTGTCCACCTTCTCCGAGACAGAATATGTGTATGTGGTTTCTGGATGTCAGTATTTTGGTGCAATGCCCATAATATGAATGTGGCTAAAAAAATTAAACAGTGTGGCCACACCTGCACCAAGCAAGGCTTGTCTTGTGGGGGCCTGTCCTTCTCCTGCCTGAAGCACATTGCCCATGTAGACCTCCTTCACCTCTTCAGGAGCGATTCCTAAACACAAGAAGCAATAAGTCCACTCACTAAATATACACAGCCATTGTGAACTGATGCAGCAATCCACACACTTACATGAAACCAAGAGAATGAGAAGACTTATTTATAATATTTTTTAAATTGTTCATCTGGTGTATTAGCTTAGCCATGCTTGCACACCTTTGCAGATGACGATTATCTGAGGCTATATCTAGTCCTACAACACATTATCATGCCCAGTTTAAGAATGAGCCCAGTATACAAGGAAGTCAATTTAAAATGCATGAAGCCACTACAGAATGAATGAGGAAAACACTTCTCTCTATTTCCAAGTTAACCACCTGAACATACCTGCTTTGTCTATGGCTCCTTTAATGGCAATGGAGCCCAGTTTGGTGGCTGGTACTGCTGCCAGGCTTCCTCTGAAGGAGCCCATTGGAGTGCGGACAGCACTGACAATTACGACATCCTGAAATCATACGTAACAAGTATGCATTTAAGTGTTCAATCCAAGCATGCAACTGTGATGCCAGTTTTAAATTCCAGTTAGTGTACTTACATTGAGTGAGGGGCGAGATGTGTAGGTTCTTGACAGGTACTTGTGAGTCTACAACAGCAGGATAACGACATATATATTTCATGTTCCATACATGGTAGAGTGCCTATATCTACTGTATTATTTCCAGGTACGCTTATAGTTCAACCTGAAGCTCTTTGACATCATTAACACATTTTTGGGTCAAATGAATCAGTTTTGAACCACGTTAGCTAAAGCTAATAAGCTCTGTTAGCAATGCTAATAATAAAAGCAGGCAGAAGTAGGGAATGGTGGCTAGTTTAGCTAGGTGACAGGACTCTTTTATAGCTTTTTATATTTTCAGTTAGCTAGCTATATTGCTGTTGTTGTTGTTGTAGTAGTAGTAGTTGTTGTTGTAATTGTTAGCTTCTTTCTTATGCTGTTGAGAAACAGACAATGCTGTTACACCGTGTACAAAAACGAAGCCAGTGACATGATTTAGCTTCACCAAATCACTCTTAGTCACCTGCCGCAGTGACCAGGTGTTTTCAGGCTGTTACATTATTACTATGGTCAAGGACAGACAGACACAAGCTTAGCTGAGCTGCTTCAAGTTGTCCAAGGCCTCGTATTTACATGTAGTCAGACTTCTGCAACAACTAGCACCCGATGCTATAAAACAGAAAAAATGGTTGTTTTTACACACCCACACTTACCAAGCGTTTACAGATTTGAGCGTGCATGGTTAAAAGTCCACTGGGTGGCATTTTGGACTGAGAGACAAGGACTGACTCACACTTGGACCCACTTCACCTTCAGCCATGCAGCGGAGGGATAAATACATCAGCCAATCACAGTGAGGGGTGTGTGTGCCCCCCCCCCCCGACGTCAAGGTTGACTAGGCATTATGGTCGTTGTAGTTTTACAACAGAGCCAGGCATATCCACATCCATACATTAGCTACACTCATTGTGGCTATACCGCTGAGGGGGAGGGATGGGAGTCGGGTGGGGTTAGTTGGAGCCAATCACAGCTGACACTGGGCGAGAGGCGACAGGTCGCTGGTGTAGTAACAATTTGTAGTGCCCTGTCAGACTAGTCTGATGACACAATCTGCTTACTGGTAATGACTTACCTTAATAAAAAACATTGTTTAGTAGCTGCTCAGGTCAGTTATGTGTAAGAAACAGACACACAACCCCTACAAGTGTGGTTAAAAGATACTAGCTGAACTGTAACAGCACTGGATGAGCAGGTCCAGAACCAAAGGGGTGAAACTGCTCCTGCTGCCAAGAGGATAAATTGAGCGAGGCCTGAGTGGGGCCTGGTTTGGGATGTTTTGCTTGCTTTGTCCTTATTTCCAGTTACACAGTAATAAGAATACAAAGATTTGCAGCTCTGTGCTGTGTGTTTACTTTATTCCACACATGGCTACTATGTAACCTCTGAATGGCTCAGTAGAAATTAGAGTGAAAAAATGTCTTTTCCTAATGAGGTTTTGAAGGTAACAGCTACACACATTATCACCTGGTAAACCCATGTGAACTAAAAAAGAACTTTCTGGTCTTTTAAATGTTTATTTTTTATGTATTTGCATGGCTCTGTAAGCACTTTCAATTGCCCTGTGTCTGAATGCTTTATAGATAAACTTCCCTTGTCTTTCATCAGCTCTTGTGCATTTAAAGCTCTTATAATGGCAACAGTGTGATTGATTTTCCTTTTGCAACAACTCATCTGAGGTCATGGAGGTCATGCTGTAAAGATGAATGGTCTCCTAATCAACATGCTTAGTTAAATCCGGGGTTGAAACACATGCACACACACGTGCACACACAGGACACACACTGCCAGACCAGAGTTGCAATATTTCCCTAATTCCAGTAGATCCTAATCCAAATTACACACTCAGTCATGATAAAGAAGCATTTTAAACTCATTTGTATTATTTTATTTATTTATTATTTTGTTTATTTTTTTCATTTTTTAATGCTTGATTAAATCATGTTCAAGAGAAACCATTAGCTACAAAACAGGCAGTTGTTACCTACAGCATTATTATATCTTATATTGTATTTCTTCTTCAAATTATGTATTTTCTTGCAGATTTCTAGTAAAAAGCTACAATAACCGATACTCAGGATGAGTTAATGGGAAAGACCATTGCTTTGTGCATGCTTATAACTGTGTGTGTGTGTGTGTGTCAATCAATCAATGGGTGCAATCGCAGCATCAGCAAAAGCTATGTGGAAAAAGGTTAACATATTCTGTGACTTAACAAAAACCATAACAAATGTGTTAACTAGACTTAAAAGTGTAATGTAGTAACAAGACGTAAACAAGTACCAGTTTTATTTGAACTCAACTAATACAGACAGGCAAGAGTTCAGAAGTATGCTCCTTTTTTTTTTTTTCAAAAATTCACCTAACCTAATATTACTTTGAATTAGCAAATATACTTCTCTATTAACTTGTAGAATAAATGCAAGCCAATACTCCTGCATTTTCCTAAAGACCTACCATGTGTTCCCTCTTAGTTAAGCTCTGCAACCATTGCCTTGTGTGTGTGTGTGTGTGTGTGTGTGTGTGTGTGTGTGTGTGTGTGTGTGTGTGTGTGTGTGTGTGTGTGTGTGTGTGTGTGTGTTATTGGGTTATTCTTTAGTTGCAATCCATCCATTTATAGTTTAACAGAGTGCGAATAGCTCTTCTCCGATTGTAGTCATACTCTCTCTGCGTGGATCCATATGAGAAGTACAGGTACCCTGAAAAAAAGGGATGCATCATTGATATCAAGCCAAACAGGAACATAACATAATGCTACAGCAGAGGGACCGTCCTTTCACTGTAACCTACCTTTATTCTCAAAAGCAGCATCCACCCGGTAGCCAATCCCAGGGAACTCTGTGTGTATGACCTTTGGGTACCCAGCATCCATTCTGCCCCTCCTTTCATTGTAGCTATGAGTAATGTGAAGAGGAGTGTTCATCAATACATGACACCTGTCTATATATGGATCCAGCCTATCACTGTAAAAGGTAATACCTATGCTGACTTGAATTACATTAGTGTAGTTTACTTATTTCTCACTATCCTGTTGATTCAACTCATGTAATGTCAGTAATGTACTGTTTTTGCCTGAAGAAGGTATAAAACTAAATTCACGTAAGTAAACTAGACTTGTAACTTTTTGTTCCTGGAGTTTTTATTCGGGATAAGTGGGTGGAGTGTCCCACCATGCTCTCTGGTAAGGATGGATGTTAACTGTGCATGGTGACTGGTATTACTGTTCTTGACAATTACTCCACATTGTTTCTAGTAGCTTTAAGTCCCTTTTAGGAAAAAGCATGTTAAACCATGAGTGAAGTGAGTTGAACAATAAATGACTTCCCTGGAGGCGCACTTTCCTTCAATGTGACATGTAATTATAGATTGAAATAAAATTACTTTATTGCAATTGAAAATAGACATGTTTCTTTGGATACTTCCACTTGTTAAATCATACATTGATCTTTGTTTAAAATGCTCAAAATGGTATTTTTCTAATATATAAAAATAATCCTGTAAACCTATCAGTCTTTGTTGTGCTTACTTGATTTATCCAAGGCAATCAGTTTCCTAAACTCTACTGAGTAAACACAACTTTCCACACAAGTCAGGCTAACTTGTTTTACTTAAGTTGCTACCACTTAAGAGCAAGTTAACTTTCGTTGCCATTTTTAAGTTGCACAATTACATTTTAAGTAAACTTGGACATGAGGGCACATTAACTTAAAACTAATAGTTATATTTACTTAGTTTTTTCAAGGCAATCGGTTTCGTAGATTTTTTTTAAGTAAGATTAACTGGTCACTTTTTACAGTGTATGTTTATGGCTATTCACATTACTCACCTCCAGTATTTGTTATTCACAAAAAGGAGGGTTCTGCCTGTAAATGACACATGGACAGCAGAGTCCACCTTGGTGACGGATGGAGGGAAGCCAAAGTCGGTGAGAGGTTTTGGATAACCAGGCAGGAGAGTGTTCCCAACGATCTTCCAGTAATGATCCCCTATGACATGAAAAGGTAGAGCTTTACTAATGTATGTTCCAAACTGTTACTACCGTTTATTTAATGCTTTTTGTCATCTTTAATCATTAAAAAAGAACAAAAAATAACTTACAATAAATTATTTACTATGTTAATTTTAGTACCTTCAAAGAAAATGACAGTATTGCTTCTCTTATACTCATAAGCAGCATCAACTTTGCTGATTTCAGACCAGACAGACTGAATCCTCCTCATAGTGATGCCGTCCCAGGAGCGGCTACGGGTCCAGAAATATCTGACAAAGAAACACAAAATTCCATAAGATGACAGAGATCACATACTGACAAAAAAGAAATCCTACAATACACATTTAACTTTGAAAATAATGGTTCATCTCTGGAGTATCATGTTTATGTGAAAACTACGTGACAAATCAAATCAAAAACTAGTGCATAAATGTCTTACCCGTCTTTAAAGAAGTAAAGACTTCCTCGAACGGAGGTTGCAGCATCAAAAGTCAGGAATCTGCTGCACCTGGTTGGTCTTGGTTCGGGATCTGGGTCAGGTCTAGGTTGTGGTTTTGGGTCAGGTTCAGCTGATGTTGTTCTGATTCCTTTAAAAGGAAAAACAAAACAAAAACAAAGTAATGGCAATGGTAAATATCTTTGAGGAGAGTTTTTCAGTGCTTTCGTGAAAAGTGCAGTTTCTGTAAAATAACAAGCTTATAAGCTGCAAAAAATCAAAAGTCTGTAAATTAGCTCGGCTTTCACCATAGATCGCTTGTACTCCCTGTTTGTCGTCATCCGGCAGCATGTACCCCTCTGTGTTCACATATTGGTAGGTGGGATACATCAGGGCTGTCTGGACCTGAGAGTGGGCCAGTCCCATTGCATGGCCAAACTCATGGGCTGCCACCAAGAACAGGTTGGCTCCTGCACAAATACACTGATAAAGTTAGGTTCTAAATCAGTTGTGGAATCATATCTCAATTACAATGTTTCCTTAATGTCAGCACCCGCTGAGGTTAGAGTCCAGCTTTCATCTTCATCAAAGTGGGCGTCACCTCCAATGCCCTCTCCAGGGGAGAATGCATGGGCCAAGACCCGACCCTCCCCATCAAATGGAGCAAAATCTCCATGTTCTGGTTTTGAGAGAAGAGGAGTAAAGTTACCACTAGATCAAACATTTTCTCCAAGGCACTGAAAGTACTGCCTTACCTCGACTCCTGAATGTGATCATAATGTCAGCGGTGCCGCTGTCGATCTGCTTGAAATCCAGAGGAATGACATCACTGTAGATTTTCAGAGCCTTGGCTATGGTGGCATCCACATCACTTTGACTCAAGTCTGGTGTGTAGTCAGTTATCCTGCAGCAGTGTGAGAGTAAAAATACTTTAAGAGTTTTATAACAGGAGCTTCATTGCTTTATCTTTGGATGAGCTGCATGCAGGGACTTGTTGGGACCCATGCGTAGTACCTGTATGTGAGAACAGTCTTGTCCCACTTTGGTTGACCATTGAAGTGGCTATATCTGGTTACGTCTGTGAAACCACAGCGGGGGCGAGCCATCACCTCCAGGGTGTTGGAGTCCAACTGCCCTGTCATCTCCAGGCCAAAAAACTCCTGCATTTTTTTGAGTGTGTCATCAAAGGAGTCTAGAGAGCTGCGCAAGACACTGCTGGGGGCACTGACGCCCACATCAGAGAAGAACTGAGACAGATAGTCCTGAATGAAGAAAACAGAAATAAGAAATTCTCATATGCAGATAAAACTCCTCATGAGATGACTCTGACTGATTAGTTATTTACCTATTCAAGTTTAAATACAGAATTTTGAGGAAAGATAAGTGGAAGTTGAAATCAAACCTAATTTTCTGATACAATTTTTGGGTTTTATTTTTTCTGCAATAGTCTTTCAGTGTATTTACATTCATCAATTGTCTTTTTATATAGTATAGGATCCAGAGGCTGCATGTATGTACTAGTAAACTAGTAATTGTTCTTAACTTTATCTCATGGATATCTGCCCCACTGTTTACTGTTCATTCTCAGCCATATCAGTACTAATACCAAAACAGCACTTGCTATTTCCTGCCGTTGCTTCACATTAAAAGTGTTCAACTGGTATTATTATTATCTAGTCTCCAGGGTTAACGCTAACACTGAGCATTCATTTAAAAATCAATCATCATCTTAAAATGCTTTTACAGGACAATACATTTCCTTCTCAGCAGAACCTGCAGCAAAACCCATTGCAGGGATTATTACAAGTTCATACTTATAGAGATTGCAGTTCCAACTCCTCAGCATGATAACCAACTGTATTTCCTGTGTCCTGCTGTTGTCTGCAAAATGTCTTGAGCTGTGAAATCAGATGCATGATGGAAATAGGCCAATAATTGAATTAGCTGCCCCTAGGATTCTGACTCCTTCAGTTTAAAACCACTCGCTCTACCACCAGTGACCATGGTTGTCACCAATTCCACCCTAAAATCTTAAGGATTATACTGTAACTTTAGTCAAGTTTACTTTCCCCTTTTATAATGATAACATTTTTCAAACTTACTGTGCAAATATTTTAGAGACCATTAGTTGGCATTATAAATACACAGTATACTCACTCACACTAACATATTTCCAGCACATTCGAAACTGTACCATGAGTTTGTGCTTCTAGAAAAACACCATATTCACTGAAAATTCCACGTAGAAAAATGTCTGTGCTGAAAATCTGTAGTCGTCTGTAATGCTTCTTTGATGGTTATAATTGTTCATCATGTAAAACTTTTCTCGTAAGCTTCGACAAAATAAATTCACATGAATCATTTTAAAACCTTCATGCATCACAAAGCTGAGCTGAATATATACTGTGTGACACAGGCTGGCTTCACACTTTGTTGTGTGAATGACGTAGCAATAGTGTGAATGCTGACTCAGCAGCTGCAATCATTCATTTTATCAACCTGCCTGGCTGCTGGAAATAAAAATGTGTCTGCCCTTCACACGCTGATTAGACCCGCATCAGTCAGTGCTGTCAATGGCCACTACACACTGGCAAGCAATGAAAGAAGTATGAGAGAAGAAGAGTCAAAGAGGAATGCCAAATGATGTAGTGGGGGTGTGACCTTCTCAAAACAAATGTATGGAATGTGTGTAGGTCTTTAAAATACCATCCTTTTTTATCAGCAGGGTCAGAGGTGACTCCTCTTTGTGACTCTTTGCAGTGGTAGCAAGGTTTTAGCAAATTGCTGGGACAAGAGTACAGTGGCCGACAAGGGCAAATGCGCTGCAACAGCCCAAAACACTTCCAAAAAGAGAAACAAGCTACAAATTCATAAACGATACATTTTTGAAAACACATACAAAAATACAAAACAAATACAACAACAGGAATGTGCTGCAAATGAAAAAACATGCTGGAGGAAGCCAAAACAAAGACATTAGGAGCAAACACATGGCAAATACAGCAACGATGCAACAACAAAAACACACAAACCAAACAAACAAATGCAACAGAAAAAAGCATTGCATTTGCACAGACAACACAAGGGAAGTGCTCCAGGGCTCTAGGGGGAACACCTTGACCATAAATACACTCACCTCCCACTTTATCAGGTACACCTTGCTAGTACCGGGTTGGACCCCCTTTTGCCTTCAGAACTGCCTCAACAAGGTGTTGGAACAGATTCAACAAGGTGTTGGACACATTCCTCAGAGGTTTTAGCCCATGAAAGCATCAGGCAGCTGCTGCAGATTTGTCTGCTGCACATCCATGATGCGAATCTCCTGTTCCACCACATCCCAAAGGTGCTCTATTGGACTGAGATATGGTGACTGTGGAGGCCAAGAGTACAGTGTGCTCATTGTCATGTTCAAGAAACCCACTTTGAGATGATTTGAGCTTTGTGACATGGTGATGTTATCCTGCTGAAAGTAGCGATCAGAAGATGGGTACAATGTGGTCATAAAGGGATGGACATGGTCAGCTAAAATACTCAGGTAGGCTGTGGCGTTTAAACAATGTTCAACTGGTACGCCAAATTCTGACTCAACCAGCTGAATGTCACAGCAGAACTCGACACTCATCAGAACCAGGCAACGTTTTTCCAATCCTCTATTGTCCAATTTTGGTGAGCCCATGCGAATTGTAGCCTCAGTCTCCTGTTCTCAGCTGACAGGAGGGGCACCCGGTGTGGTCTTCTGCTGCTGTAGCCCATCTGCGTCAAGGTTCAATGTGTTGTGCGTTCAGAGACTCTCTTCTGTATACCTCAGTTGTAACGAGTGGTTATTTGAGTTACTGTTGCCTTTCCATCAGCTCGAACCAGTCTGGCCATTCTCCTCTGACCTCTGGCATCAACAGCATTCAAAGTCACTTAAATCACCTTTCTTTCCCATTCTGATGCTCTGTTTGAACTTCAGCAGATCGTCTTGAATATGTCTAAATGCCTACATGCATTGAGTTGCTACCATGTGATTGGCCTATTAGATAGATAGATAGATAGATAGATAGATAGATAGATAGATAGATAGATAGATAGATAGATAGATACTTAAAACAAGAGTGGATAAAAATTCACTGAACCAGTTTGTTTTGGGGGGCGATAAATTATAGCAAATAAAATTGAATGGGGACCATCAAGTTTATAAGTGAGAACTTCAAAGAAAATTCTCACACTGTATCTGATGACATTTGAGGTTGTTTTGGTAAACACAGGCCCCCACCACGACCACTGCCCTATGGTTGGCTGAAACAGTCATAGTGTGGGGGGCACAGTTCAACAAGCGGACAATGATTCGTTGTTTGCAGCCAAGATTCAGTTAAAAACATAAAATCTAAGTTGGCAGATAAAATCATTTAAAGTAAATGTCTCATTGGATAGTGATCTCACATTGAAGAGAGCCATTTTAAGTGAATTTGAGAGGGCTTTATAGACCGTTGGGTGGGGCTTGAGGAAGAAAATACACATTTGGGTATGTGTGCAGTGCCCTCTTCCTTTATCTTGCTCAATTCCTCACTATCTTACAATACCCTTACCTTACTAACCAATACAGTCTGGGGGTCCCTCCCGGCCCCCTGGTACAGTAAGTTGACCCTAGGTGTAACACTCTTTTGATCCATTTGTCATCCTGTCTGACCACATGCCTGTAATCCCCCTTTTCCTCTGTCCCCGTGCCCTTCACTCTGGGTCAGTCTATTGCCTCAGACCTGCTCTGTGTCAGTAGGCTCACCGTATTCTAGAATACCAATAAACTCACACCACTACAGCAAACTTGGTACTAAGGACTTGAGTGAATTTTCTTCAACAGGCTAGAGAACGGAATGGGGACAGTCAACGTAGGAGAAGACGAGTTCTGTTCAATGACCGGTGCTGTGTCCAGGTGTGCTGCATTACTGAACTGTCACACACGATTGACAGTGGAGATTGCATGAAGAACTGTGGACTGGGGTGAATGCCATCTCTGTTACAAAATGATGCACGCTCCCAGAAAAGATTGAAATTGTCAACTAATACTATGCTGTGTGAGGAGCATTCAGATTGTAGCCAAGTGTTTAGACAGAGCAGCCTTCTGAAACGCCCTACACCTTGATGGAGAGAAGGAATCAGTCCAGAGATAAAAAAAAGATTTTTTGCAGTCCTTAGATATTTAAAAAAAGACTGTTAAAATCACACTTTAGCACCTCGAACTGTTGGCTTGCGATATCGTTGGTCCCAACGTGGATAACAACATTTCTGGCATGAGGATGATTACTTAGAAGAGAAGGGATCTGTTGAACTATGTCCACAACCTTGGTGCTGGGGTAGCAATGTGTTGTGGCCACTCTGATGTTCCTCACTATGGAATCACTGATAACAGCGGTGGGTTGCATGAAGCCGGACTGTGAAGAGGGAGGTGTGTTTTGTCAGGTGGGTGCCCTCTCCAGAACTCCAGGCTTGGACCGGCCAGCTGGTTGCTGGTTGAGAAGGGCGTGTTAGAGACTGACAGACAAAGACTGGGCCTGCTGCGTTGGTTCAGCCTCCGGTAAGCAATTACAGTAGCCGTGGCTTCCTTCTGGTGGGTGGTGATGACAGTGTGTTAGAGTGGTGTTAACTCTCTCAGTTGGCTAGGTAGCTTCCATGCTAAAAAATGACCAGGTTATGCTAGCAGTTGTAGCAGACATACCTGGTCTGGCATCAGTCACAAGCCATTAAAGAAGTTCATTGTAAGGACATGCAGAGTTATGGATCCAAAATTGACACTTTGTTACTTTTGCCACCATCAAACTATCAAACCAATAGGAAAAAGAGACAAAGGACCCTTCTCTGACAAACAGACCATGCTGTTAGCATGTCAGAGAGATGCACAACCAGACAATGGGTCAAAGGGTCAGCTGCAGAGGATCAACGAATGGACACCGGGGTTATGGTGGAAGAAGGATGTGCGAGTTTTATAGGCCAACTCTAGAATTAAACAATTTAAAAGTTCCTTGGAAAATTACTCTCTTCTCCAAGTTGAAACAAAGGAGAAAACATGTGACGCCCCTGAAATGTGTGCCAGCCCCCAGGAGATAAAACAGTTGTGATCAATTCAATTAAAGTTATCCAGCAAAAGTTAAGTGCATTAGATTTTATTGCGCATCAACCCCCAAGAAACGCGGGCAGATAACACATCTGCCCACAACTGCCTGCAGAGAAGCCGACCAGAAATGAAGAGTGGCCGAGAGAGTCTACTGGCAAACTCCACCAGAGCTGAACCACTGAGAGACCAGCAGAATCTGTCACCGTGATAATGGGACACGGCCTCCAGGAAAATCCACCTAGATCCCACATATCCAGGGTAACCACGGCAAACACGGCTCAGCCACCTGGGTTCCAGCCGAGGGTCTCCAGCTACAGCACAACTCACAGTAGGCCAGTCTTAACACTCTGCTCATGATTGGGTGGATGTCGAAATATAAGAATATTTAATCATCAAATCTCATTCGTAGAAGTAGTAATCATTAGCTGTATAGCTATAGTATATAACATATTGTCTTCCACCATTGCCAACTCATCAAGCAGTCCATTCCATTATTATATTATCTAGATGATTATTAAACATTGCATTTACTCTGTAGATAGTAGTCTAGTTAATAAACTTCCTTATTTACACTCAGTCATTGTCTTGTGTTTTTTTGAAGTAGAGACTGGAGATCCATTGAATTGAGAAGGCACGTTTCTGATATGAGATTGATCACATTACTTGATGAAGTAATTCATTGTTTAACCTTTTGATGTTGTTTATAGTTTATTTATCACAGTTTAAGTTTTACACCTTTTTTTCCTGACAGTTTTAAATAGGTGTCTATGGGGGGAGGTTAGAGTGGATGACATCACAGCCAGAGTGGGAGAAGAGGTTAAACTGGTCACAAAAATCTCTGTTTAATTCGTCCTCACGGCCACACACTCACTTTTCAGACACCATTTTTGACCAGAACCTAGAAAAGTTTGTCTTCTTTCAGGAAATGTCTCTGACAAAGCACAAAGACTTACAGAATTTGAACTATGCCCTTAAAAGTGGCAGGATTACCATCCAACTGCCCCATTCACTCTAATGTAAAATGAAAGCAGAAAATCAGGAGGAAACAGGAAGCGAGGCATTTTTAAAATCGCTGCACATGCCACATCTTCACAACTGAGACCAATTTCTGTATATCAACCCTTCTGCTGTTCATCTTTCTTATACTAATAGAAATGCTTTCTTCTGTCACAGTTTTAAGGCATTTTATTCCAACTTCCACCTTTGGCAGTAAATGATTCGGCTTTCATCTTTTTCAACAACATGTTTCAGTTCTCAGCTTTTGCAGCTAATGTCATAGTTCTAAGTAAGGCTGGACCCAAATGCAGCCAACACAATGGAGTCAGTGAAAATTGTTTATTAAACAGAAGACTTACAAAAACTGGTCAAAAGCCAAAGCATGAGGAAACACAGGGACCAGAAGCACACGAGGAAGACAAGGACTCAACCGGTAACACAGGGGACAACAACAGATGAACTGACAAAGACAAAGGGGAGGACAGAGACTAAATAGACACAAGGGTGGCAAAGGTGATTAAACACAGGTGAAACACATTAGGACGGGGCAGACAATCAACAAGCAGGGAAACAGGACAAACATAAAGAGACACACAAGAAAACAAACTACAAAATAAAACAGGAAATGACAAATGTCCAAACAAAATCTCAAACATAAAGTGTCTGCCATGGCAACCCATGACAGCTAATGGACTCCAGTTTAACATTTTTGTTTGTGAGTTGAGCTTACAGGTTTTGCTTGTACATTTCTTCTTTAGGTATTTTTCAACCATTTTAGGCCATTCAACTTTCAAATTAGAAATTTTGCTGTTTTCATCTTTTTTCATCAATTCAGGTCTTTTTCAACCATTTCATGTCATTCAACCTCCAGCTTACAAGTTACGTCAGCTACCCCAGCATTGCTTTAGAAAATGCTTTGGCTAGCTTAGCTACTTTAGCATTGCTTCAGCAATCTCATTCAGCTCTCGGCATTCAAATGCATTTTCCACAGGAAATGCATTTTCTAGTTATCTCTAAACCTCAACTTTGAATTGTTCAAACCAGTTTTATTCCTGTGAAGATGACTTTAAATAGGATTTAATATTTCTGGAAATGGAAAGTAAATTCTTTCTTTTCACGTTACAAAATTAAAAAGACTGAAATTGTATTGTTTGACAAGATTGAAAGAGATAAAAACTGAATGCTCTTCTCTTGCCAATGTCTCCAGGTTAAATAACACCAACAAACAGTGCAATATTTCAACTTTGAGAACATCTCATGTTTACCTGGGCTTTAGAGAGCTCTTCTTGGCTGGGTGAAGTGGTGGGCACAGCTCCACAGAGTGCCACAATCACCACTATCAGCACAGTTTTAACAGCCAATGCACCTTCCATGATTCCTTCTTCTACTGCAGAGAAGAAATAACTCCAGGTACTTTATTTATTCTCCCTCTCAGACTCTACTCGGCCGCTGAGTTGGAATAAAGTAGTTGCTTATTTCCTGAAACACTCAATATCAGTGTTTTGGATGCGAGATCAGATAAAGATGCATGATGAGGCAACAAAACATTCCTGCAAGAGTCTGAACAGGCCCATTAGAGCAACAGGAGAGAGATAACTGCAGGGATGAGAGAGAGAGAGAGACGGAGAAGATTCAAGATAGTTTCAAGCTAGAACTCGGGCCTGTATGAACATGATGCTGATCAGAAATTGCACTGTTTAAACCATCGACAGGAATGCAATGTTTTCTTTTAGATGTGAGATGACATCAGGTGTTTCTGTGTGTTCTTGAGTTTTGTAAAGTTGTTGGTGAAGTAATGTGTTGATTACTGCTATCACTTTTTGCTCTGTCAACTGGTGAAACTCAGCGTGCTGGCAGCCAGACGCACAGACCTTTTACAAGCTCACATTCATCTGAATTGCTACACAAGAGTTACACTCTAACCAAATGGCCCTCTAGCCATTAAAGTGAGAAAGTCTAAGCAAATGGCAACAGGCATAATCTAGACACTAACAGCTAACAGAGAACCACAGAGTGATTATCAGCTTTGATTGTGATTGTGATTGACATCCTTTGAAAGCGATGGGCTTGTTTGATCCTGGGCCTGTTTGGAAGCACTTTTCTCTCCCACTCTATTTGTCATGGATGATCATCAGAAATGATGATCGAAGCTGGTGAGCTTATTTATTGTTTTTCGATATTATGAAAGACCTACAAACACCTGATGATGACATCAAAAAAATCTTTAGTGTTAATTGTGACTTTGAGACCTCTTCTGCCAGAGATGCCAAAAGGTGTCAGTGCATCATGCCGTGGGGCGTGTTTCTGTGAATCTTCCATTTCATACAGTGAGAAGGCACAATTAGATTTTATTATTAATTAATTAGATCTCAACACAAGTCACCAACAGAATATTCTTTTTCGGGTAATTGACATCAGTGGGTGTAATAAGCAAAGACGCCAAGAGAGGGAGCAAAAAGTTAATGTTGATCCTGGTTACTGCCCAGGGTTGACACATGGCTGACAAACAGTGCTGCTGTTTCACCCATGCCACTGGTTTCTCTTCCTCTTCTGTTATTGGCATCAGCATTCACAGATACACCCTGACATATTTGGACTCCCAGATCAGACAGACACATCACTAAAGACACCCACTGACAACTATAAATCAGCTATTTAATGACATTTTCTCCATTTCTTGTTTTGGAGCACGTTGTTGTATATTTGTACTTGTGTTGGCATTTGCAGCATTCCTGGATTTGGAGGAAATTCTCTTCAAATGTGCGCATTAACTCTTGTTTTATCTTGTTTTGAGTGTTTTATCCAGGGGAAAGTAGATAACAGATATGGCACGTTGTCGCCATAAACTTTTTAGATCTCATTTCTTAAATTATGTCACATTTGCCCTGATTGACAATACAATAATACAGGCAGTGTATTATTTATCAGTAAACATCAACCTGAAACAGCATCAGACTCTACAGCTGTATCCTTATATACGATTCTATATATCATTACTTGATATTGTAATGCTTTTCACATAGGACATTTTTATTAGTAAATTGATGATTCTAAATGAATTATTTTTGATACCTGTTTTAGTGTCATTGTGTTATTTTCAAAAATGAGATCTAAAAAGATCTAAAAAGTTTAAAAAGAAATTTAGAGGAATAAATTATTTTATTCATGTATCTGTGTTTTGATTTCTCATCTTATTTTAAAGTGCTTAGATGAATTGTGAATTCAGCTTTTTTTTATTTAATTAAAAAAACTGTACTGTCAGATCATTTTCTTAATCTATAAGTGATCAGTGATGTATTAATTGATAAGTTATTAATTTAATAATTCCTTTGTTCATCCTTTTATTGTATAATTATATACAATATCAATTAATTAATTGATTTATAGTTTAATTTATTCATTGGTAGAGGAATGAACTCATTTATTGTATGAATTAATGTTTGTGTAATTAATAAGTGCCTTATACTAACCTTCAAAACTTTTTGTATAATAGTATTAGAAAACAGGTACGTTAGAGTAGCAATATTACAGTACTAGTAGTAATAGGTCAAAACTAAGTGGACTTGCTGTCTTAAAGAAACATCTTCAAGATGTTTCACAGCTCATCAGAGTCTTGTATATCTGTTTTAGCAGACATCTCATGTCTCACACGTAAATAATTTTAAATTGTTCAATTCAAAAACTGATTTCAAAATGTCTGTCAACTGAATAATTAGTTAATCTGATGATGATGTCATCTGATTCATTTTGAAAATGTAAAACTAACTGAGTTAAGTTGAATGAAAACGAGAAAACAAGTTCAATTAACATGAGATACTAGGCTGAATCAACAGATAGATTTGCTGATAGATTGCTTTACTTTTACGTTAAGTTATCTCACAGATTCAGTTCTTCATTTCAAGAGTTTATAGCTGCAGCTACTGAAGCCATTTTGTACCACAGCCGGAGACAAAGAAAACATGTGAAACGTAAAACTGCGGGGGTAGGGACTGAGTATAACACTAACCTTCATCGCGGTTAGCATTGTTTTCATTATTATGAGATAATGATATTATGAGAAACAACCATGACTTACAAGTTAAACAAAAATGTAGACAAGTATAAAATTAATATCCAACTTTATTTTTATATTCTGTTCACAGCAATAAATGAATTTAATAGAATTATATACTGAAAATATAATAGCCTATTTAGAATATCATAAATATTTCAAATGCACTTATTTGACACTGTTAGTTGTACATTCATTCTCATTCTACATGAGTGGCTATAAACAGTTTAGATGGTGAACTGGTCTAGAAGTTGGTGCAGCGTAAGAAGTAGCTGTTCCTCAACACACGGTACAGCCTCCCAGTCCTCAGGTTATACTCATATATGTACGGTCCGCTGTAGATGTAAGTAAAACCTGCAGAATAGAGGCTCAATGTCAGTGTCTGTAATACTTAAAGGAATATTTTGGGAAATATGTATAAGCATTGGCTTTCTGTCAAGAGTTAGATGAGAAGACTTTCTACTGGAGGTTGTATGTTGGACCGTCTTATTTGATGACCCCAGTTACTACACCCGGCCAAAATAGTCCAACATATACTGCCATGTAACACCACAACTTCTCAGTTTTACACTTTGATTTTTGAACAGATTAAATTAAACGATATATAACATCTTCTTCAGTGAGTTTTGGAGGTGCTGGCAGGCAGATTATGGCAGATTAAGTAACCCGATGTGTCATGTACAGACATGAGAGCAGTATTGATCTTCTCATCTAACAAGAAATCAAGGAAGTGTATTGCTCAAAATGTGGAGGTAAAGGAGGACAGATTAATTTGTCTTAAAAATTATGAACATCTTGTTTTTTTCAGTACTCACCTCTGTACTGGAAAGCTGCAGTCACCTTGTTGGTCAGTCCAGAGAAGGTCTGATCAAGACGTTTGGGGAATCCCCGGTCCATCGTCCTTCTGGCCTCATCGTAACTGAAGAAACACAGACCGTAATTAGATAAATTCAATAAGTAAAAATGGAAAAGAATTGAATATTTTGAAATTAGAAATTAATATATACTCTGAACACACCTGAAGTAAGAGTTGCCCACGAAGAACAGAGTTTTGCGAGACTGTGCGTCATAGAGTGCAGCATCGATTTTCCTCACACTTCTTGGCAGACCTAAACTGGTAAGTGTTTTAGGATAGCCTCGTACTGGAGTATAGCCAGTGAAAGCCCACACTTTACGATCTGCAGGGAAGAAAAGATTTAAAAAAAAAAAAACTCCATAACCCAGGCAAACTTTGAAATGGTGCCAGATTTGTGCCTCGGGGAGATAAAGAAAACACAAACAGTACCTTTAAAGAGAAGGACTCTGTCTGACACTCGGCTCTCATAAGCTGCGTCGATATTGACAGGGGCACTGGGCCAGAAGTTTGTGATGAGACTTTGCTGAGGTGTACTGCTCTGGGGGTAGCTACGCCAGAAGAAGCTGAGAACACAAGACAGGTAATTATGGTGAGACAATCCTAATAGACTTTGTATTCAGGTGATTTAGCATTCTACTCTACAGAATGTCTGATACCTGTCCTTGAAGAAAAGCATCTCTCCTCGCAGGGTGGTGACAGCATCCAAGACCATGGTTGAATCACAGGCATCAGGGGTCTTGGGAGGCTTTGGTTCAGATACAGAGGGATCCTTATCAGGATTTGGGCCTGGAAATCAAACAAAATAAGTCACCACGTATTTAGAAAGCCCTGCATCACTGTGCAACAACGGTTGACAAGCATCACCCATGATTGTGCAAGAGATTCTCTAAGATTTTGACCAAACAGTGATGATCCCTCCAGTTAGCACTAACCATAGAGAGACTGGATGCCGTTGACATCATCCCGGGGCAGAACAAAAGTGTCAGGGTTACTGTATGAGTACACAGGGTACATGAGGGCACCAGGATCATCAGAGTGAGACAAGCCCAGAGAGTGGCCAAATTCATGGGCAGCTACCATGAAGAGGACGTAGCCTGTAGCAGAAAACACAGGTACTGGAAGTTAAAGCATGTAATGTCAAAATACATTAGTTTCATGCCTTGTTTCGAAACTATGTTTCTTAAATTGCATAATAAAAAAACAGTAATTCTTTCAAATATCTCTCTTTGCAGAGCATAAATAACAGACTTACCTGCATTTGAGCGGAAGGTGAAGGTCTCAGCATCATCAAAATGAGCATCTCCTCCAATGCCAGGAGATGGGGCGAAGGCATGAGCAAGAGTGCCATCAGGGCCATCAAAGGGGTAATAATCTCCATGATCTGTTGAGCAAGAGCATATTCATGTCAGGTTTTGAAAACAGGAAAAAAAAAATGTGTGCCATTAAATGTACATTTCAATGTTTTTTCTCCTGTACCTATTATATTTCTGTAAAATTCAACTTATCAGAAAGTGTTTCACAAATGCATCTTATTGCTAACTGTTGGATGATATGTGTAGCTCAGATGCTTTGTGGGGTATAACAACCACAGCCCTGTGCCAAAGGAAACACAGCCCTTTCAACACTTTCCTGAGCCTTTAAACACTTGAAAAACATCTGAAGGCATATGCAGGCAAGCGCAGGCATGCCATTGTGTAATGACTGTTGTCTCTTTGTTGTACTGAATGATATACAACATGTAACTATACTGTATGATCCACTGCCAGTCATCAACAGATAAATTACACTCGGATATACATGACAGTATGTGCTATAGCAGAGGTGTCAGAAAGAGCTCTAGGAGATTAACTCCTTCCACTGGAAAATAGATACCTCACACTGCACTTCCATATAATATATGTGATTTTTTGTTTCCAACAAAGTACAACCAAAAAACATTTGTTGATAATAAAAAAAAGTTAAGCATTACACTTGAATGAAAAGCAAACAATTACAAAAAATAAAATGAATAAAAACAAAAGCTTTCAGTGGTGAAATGTGCCGTTCTTTTGTGTACTTTCCTTTCCTTCAACTTTGTACTTCTACTCAACAACACTTCAGAGGGAAATATGGTGCTATTCTTTTTTTTACTATTTAACAATTATTTGGCAGGTTCAGTTACTACCAACTTTTCAGATGAAGAGTTTGAATGCAAAATATACGATGAGTTTATGAAAGATGATGCAGTGCTATTTGAGCCTTTCCCTTTCAAACCCAGGAGGATCTAAAGTACCAAAAAATGGCTCCACAAGACAGGACTACAGCATTAAAATTGTGCTTACATGTTTAATGACTTATAGTAGTTAATATTGTGATTACATTGTACTAAAATAATAAAACAATGTGAAAGGAGCCATTCTGCGTAATGAGTACTTTTACTTTTGATACATTTTGCTGATAATACTCCTTTAGCTTTACACTGAGCGTGTAGGACTCGGAGAATTTGTAGTCTATGGTGTTTCTACTTTTACACAAGTAAAGAAACAGAGTACTTTTCCCACTACTGAAAGATCTTTTGTAATCACCTCTGGTGCCAAAGGAGATCATGATGTCAGCAGTGCCACTGTAGATCCTTGTGAACCTCAGAGGAGTGACTTTGGCCCAGACCTGCAGCGCTTTCTCTATGGAGTCATCCACCTCTGACTTGGTCATGTCAGGTGTGTAGTTCTCAATCCTGGAGGACAGAAAAATGGTCAACAATATTATCAGATAAACTTACAATAATAATTCTTGCTCACACATTCTCTCTTCAGATCACTCACCTGTAGGTAAGGCTGTTCTTCTGCCACTTCAGGTTGTTTCCAAATGTGGAGTAACGGGCAGTTTGGGTGTCTGGAACGCCACAGCGAGGTTTCTTCATCATAGCCATGGTGTCAGCATCCAGCGTCCCGGTGATCTGGAGTCTGAAGAATCTCTGCATCTCACTCACTTTCTTGCTCATTGGGCCGATCCCCCGTCGGACAGTCGGACCGCTCTCCTCTGTTAGGTTGAAGAATTTCTTCAGGTAGCTCTGCATGAAGAGAAAAGTATAATACCTAGTTGTCACTAATGGTTTTTGAACAATGACAGTTCCCAAAATGTGCGGCTTCAACTCATCTGAAATGTAAAATACAGAGAATACATGGAGACAAGGTAAAGTAAACACACAAACCTCTGCAAAATCCTCATCCTGCACAGTAACTTCTGATAGTGGTACACAGTAAACTGCAACTACCAGGCTTAGTAAAATGCATAGGCTGAAAGACGTCATGCTTCCTTGTTGAATGTAACTTGTGTGTCTGCATGGGACTTAGCCTTTATATAGCTGAGGAGCGGATGTGTTGAGGTCTGAGTGGGCGTGTTGGGCAACTACTTGTTTTGAGTCAGTGCCTCAAGGAGTTTTCCATGTATGGATAACAGAAGCAGAAGATTGGCTTTGATTGCTCAGCCAACAAGACCCAATTCCCAAAACAAGACTGTAATGATTATGACATGACACATGACATATCAAATTTATGAGACAAACAAACATCAAATTAATATTGTAGGTACAAAATATTAAATAAAATAAGTGATATGGAAGTTGAAATCTTTTTAATAATCATAAAAATGATAAATAAAATAATCATATGTCACATCTGTTTAACTCACACAGATGCTGTTAGTATTGTGTAGATGAGAATGCTGATTCTTTTCTTCATCAGTACTTTGGTCCATACTCCTGAGCAATGGAACAATTGGTACAGATACGTTAACTGAACATTCTTCCTTTTATTTTGAAAACGTTTTTGCTGATTGTTTAATCTGTTACTTAAAGTTATGTTACGAGTAATATGCTGATATTTTACCCTGATTCTTAAGGCAGTATGACATGAATTTAAAGGTCTTTGCTCACACGCTGTGCTCTCTAACCCTCAGGCTACTGGGTCTCTTGCTAATAAGACAGTGATGTAAGAACACGGACAAGCTGGGTCATGTCATGAACAAAAAGCCCTGTTACCTCTCGCCTTACACCAGGGGTCATAGTCATAACAAAGTCCTTCTGACAGGTTATGGAGTATTTGTAGAAGCCATAGATTATCACTCATCATGTTGCATGACTTGACTCATCATGTAATAACTAGGCTTCATTATATTTTCTGCCGCAACATCAGATTTTCAACTTCATAGAAAAGTTGTGTATGTTTATTTCTTTGTATAAACTATGTTGTTATTTTTCATCCTTACATCGATATGTGTAATATTATATTCAGCTATGTATCTATTTAAGTGACATTTGTACATTATTGTTAGTGTAAAACTACATCGCGATTGCTGTTTCCACATTGGACGATGGGTTGAGGAGTACTGTCTTCATTGTGCAACTTATGTCTCAGGTAGATTGAGCAACACTAAACACAGACAGTCGGTGAGGAGGAACAGAAAAAATGAGCACCTTATTCTTTTCAAATTATGTTTTTATATTACCACAAAATATAAATCTTGGCATTTTGCCTTTAAAATCATCTGTCACCAGCTGAGCAGGAGGTTAAAAAAATATTAAGTCCACTTTTCCATTTAAAATGTAGAAAATGAATACCAGTTCAATATAGCACAATCCAATACAGCTGTTCTGCCCTAACGTTTCCTACAATGTTCCTATAATGTTCATTTATATATATGTGTGTGTGTGTGTGTATATATAAATAAAACAACAAACAATAACATCCAATTGACAAAAACTACAAATAACTCTAGTTTATTCATTTGTTTTGTGGTTCCAGGACAATATAATAAGTATCTATCTCAGGTGATTATTACAACATTGTATTACACACTGTATGAAATGCTGATGTTAATATTTTTGCATTGTTCATCAGTCAGTCACCACTTTATCATTCATCACAATGTGGTGGTTTATGGGTTCCTAAAAATACACACACGAACACAAACACACACACACAAACGAGGTGGCAGGAGGAACTATTCCCTCATAATACTGAGCTAACATTCCTGGAAATCCACGCACACCTCTGAGAACTCCTTCCTGTAAGGCAGCTTTTGTTTTTTCTAAGCTGTTTTAATCAATATTTGATATGAACAAAAGACCAAATGAGAGTCAAGTCAGGCCTAGGTTCACCTGACCTTGCAGCTGCCTTAAGCACCATTTTTTCATCTTTCAGCTTTTTATTTTGGTGTTCTGGCTCGCAACGTCACTGTTATGGATTCCTCTCACCTGATATTTTGAGTAGGCTGCTGTTTTAAGCCAGAAAGCTCTGATAAAACCACTGTCCACTACCTGCTCATCACCAAACCGCAGACAGACGCAGACACTCACTTGAACATAGAGGAGCATTTAGCAGCTAAAGAGATATTTCCCTGAGAGTTGGTTTAAACCAAAAACATCTAAAAAGAGTGTAAATGTTGGCCTTGGACATTCATTAGGCAAACTCAAAGACAAGACAAAATAAATGCTAATGTCACCCATTCTGTTGTATATGTAAGTACATAAAAAGCCCTTATACTGCACATGCTATAATGTTGTTGTTCTGCCCCCAAGTGGTCAACCATGGATTACTGTTTGATGTTAATGTTTTGATTTTCATTGTTTTTACTTTACACATGATTTTACTTAAATTATACAAATGCTTTGCGTCTTATGTGTCACAGGTGTGACTTACAGGTTAAATTTATTTAAATCTACTGGGGAGTGTACTGACCCAATAACAACATGCAAATGTGTGGTTATAAAATAAAATAAAAAAAAATAATTACAGATTAAAAGATCAGTTTTTAAAACAAAAAGTCCCAAATGCTCCGACCACTGACAAGAATCCCAGTGTTAACGAATCCAGGGTCCCGCAGCGCAGGCTTATGGGCTCCTCTGTAGCACCCACGTGGACCTTGGGGCCCTGCTGCCTCGTGCGTTTTCAACTGACAAGCAAAGTAACTCACATCAACAGACTCACCAGTCTCCGCCCTCTTTCCATCAAGAGTTTATTTGCATCAAGAGTTTGTTTGGAAGGGGTTGTATAGTCTTGAAGTCTTTAACTAAAAAGGATGAGCCCAAAATATTAATAAAACTAACTTACATGCCAATAAAAAAAAGACGAAGTCACTCAAATAAACCAAATGTAATAGAGAAAATAATAAATTAGAACATTTTGGCAAAAAAAAAAAACAAAACCAACAACTTACAACTAAATACACGGCAAGCAAAACAACTCAAATAATTATGCAATTAAATCAATATTCCAAACCAAGGCAAACATAGGCAAAACACAAAAGAAAAGCATTTTCCTGATTAGCAAGTTGCGTCTCAATTTCTTTGATGCTGACAGGTATTACTGCCAGGGCGAAACATACAATTTCATGAAAGGGAAAGAAGCGGGACTTAACTGGAGGAGGGGTGAAGCGTACATTCACCCATCCGCTATCTCACGACGCGCGTCCCTCTCTGCTGCAGCGGCTAGTTGTGGCAGCGTGCGTGTGTTTAGCCTGTTCGGCTCAGCCTCACTCGTGGTTCCTGCTGACTGTCCACCGTTCTCCAAACTCAATGTCTCCTCTGTTCCTCCGCCATTCTCAGCACGCACGTTCTGCACGCCTGTGCTGCATCTGCCGATTAGCTATGGAGGCAGGCAGAAGACGCCGCTGTGGAGCCCAATGCACCAATCAGCGACTCCTGCACCAAGGTGTCGTCTCGGGTTAAATGAACCCCGCGAATCTTAAGCATATTTCCTGGTCTGTGGTTCTCATTGAAAAATCACATCAGCCATGTTGCTTGTCACACAGGTTTAAAATAATGGTGTGGACTGGACTGACAACAGAAGCCAGTTGCTTAGTATCTGGACATCACAATGTGTTTTGCTGACAAAATAATTCCAACAAAAAGAAGTTGACAGTAACCCCGATAGCACAATAGATCCGGCCTGTAGTTTGGCCACATGCTTGTTTTCTTCTGGACCAGTATACGCCCATTTCCATGGCCCAAATCTGGCCCATGCTACTTCCACATCTGGACCAACTCTGGTTCACACACAGAAACTCTTGTGGCTGTGAGACAACACCAGGGGATAACAGCTGAATCTGCCCAGAAGTGGAAGTATATGGGCCAGACTGAAGTTTCATTTTGCTTTCTGGAAAGTTAGACGATAAATGACTTCGTTGAAAAGCTAACAATCAGTAAAATATACATTATCTATTTAACTGACATATGTATTGAATAAACACACTCATATGAGTTTCTGTGTTGTGCCAAACATTTAACCAAACATCACTTTATTTGATCATCCACAGTTCATTAGTGACTTTGCACAGTCAGTCACCTCACATACAGAGCTTTATATCGGTTAGTTTCCATGCCAACAGAGGCTGACAGTCATTTGAAAATGTGCTAACACATACTGTATCAATATCTTCTTGTATGACATGAGTCTATAGGTCGGTCAGTCAACCACTGACTGACCTACAGTATAGTGTGTGTGTGTGTGCGTGTGTGTGTGTGTGTGTGTGTGTGTGTGTATGTGTGTGTGTGTGTGTGTGTATGTGTGTGTGTGTGTGTGTGTGTGTATGTGCGTGTGTGTGTGTGTGTGTATGTGTGTGTGTGTGTGTGTGTATGTGTGTGTGTGTTTTTATAACTATTGGATAGATTGCCATGAAATTGTTTATACACACCATTGCTCCCAAAGGATAAAGCCTACTGATTTTAGCAATCTCCTGTCCTGTAGTCCCACCATGAGGTAGACATTTATGGTTTAAAGTGAAATATTTGATCACCATTGGGATGGATTGCCATGAAGTCTGATTCAGACATTCATGTTCCCCTCAGGATGAATTGTAATGACTTTGGTGAGCCCCTGACCTTTCCCCTAGCGCCATCTTCAGCTCAGCAAATGTAATTTGTCCAGTACTTTGTTTCATGACTAAGTAATTGAAAAAATAATGACATTATCATCAGCCTCAGCTGTACTTTGTCTTCCAATTAGCAGCTCGTAGCATGCTAACATGTTAAACTAAGATGGTGAAAATGGTAAATAATATGCCTACTAAAGTCTCAGTAAAATTAGTTGTTAGGTGCAGTGGTTCTTGACATCTGTATAGTATTACCAGTTGTCTGTTTGTATGTTTGTTATTGTTCTTCCTTCCTTCAATGTTTCTGTTATGCTTAACAGATTAAATATACTGTATTACTGTATATTTCCATATTTGTACTGATTAGCTAAAATTAGTCTGTTAAATTTCAAATAACCAAAATTTTTTAACTGACCAGTGGTAACTTTTTTCTTATATGAGCCAAAAA